ACACCATATTTTACAAGACGGGTATACTGTATGTTCGGGTCGGACGCGCGCCTCCAAGGAGAACATATGGTACTAGTATGTCCTTGTGGGTCCCATCCCTCCTCCCTCACTGCCTCCTGCCTCTGCAGGCCCTTCCACTCCCCGCCCTCCCTCTTCCCTGCCATGGCCTGAGGAGGAGGAGGAGGAGGAGGAGGAGGAGGAGGAGGAGAAGGAGGAGGAGGAGGAGGAAGAGGAGGGAGGAGGAGGAGGAGGAGGAGGAGGAGGCGGAGGAGGAGGAGGAGGCGGAGGAGGAGGATGACCCCGCCTCCTCTCCCCCCACCCTCGCCGGCCAGGGGCTCAAGGAGCCCAAGTTCAACCGCCCGGCGCAGGCCGCGGGGCCGCCCCGGCCGTAGGGTGGGCGAGGGGCGCCCGGGGCGCCGCCCGCGGCGGTCTCGCGGCAGGCTCCGGAAAACCACGTCTCCCCTCTTTTTGCTTACACTTCTTATGCCTTTTGCCTCGTTCCCTCCCCGTTTCCTCCTACCCCCTTCTCCCTCCCTCCCTCTCTCCCTCTCCTTCCTCCTCCTTCTTCCTCCTCCTCCTCTCTTTCTTCTCCTCCCTCCTCCCTCCTCTTCCGCCTGCCTCCTCTCTGCCTCCTCCTGTCCTCCTCCTTTCCTCCTCCTTCCTTTTCCTCCCTTCCTCCCTCTCCTCCTCCTCACTCTTCCTACTTTCCTCTCCTCCACCCCTCTTCCTCCTCTTCCTTCCTCCCGTCCCTCATCCTCCTCGCTCCTCCCTGCCCTCTCCTCCCTCCTCTCATCCTTCCCTTCCTCCTCCTCCTCCTCCTCCTCCTCCCTGCTCCTCCTCCTCCTCCTCCGCCTCCGTGCTACGCATCCACCTCCTCCCCGTCATCCCGTTCATCCTTCTCCTCACTCGTGCTGCTGCTCTGCTCTGCTGCCGCTCTGCTCCCTCTCCTTCTACTCCTCTCCTCCTCCTAATTACTCTTCTTCCTCCTCATGCTGCTCTTCCTGCTCCCCCTCCTCCTTTTCCTCCTCCTACTCCTGCTCCTTCTCCTCCTCTCCTCCTCGTCCTCCTCCTCTTCTTCCTCTCCATTCCGAGACGCTGCTGATCCTCCTTTTCTCCTCTTCCCCCTTCTCCTCCTCTCCTCCTCCTCCACCTCCGGCTGATCCGCGACCCAGGCACTATCCCCCCTTTAGGGCCAGTGACCACCTGGGCCAGGCGTGTCGGCCGACAGTCCCACGAGGATGAATTGTACAACATGCGAGGCCCCCGCCTTCAGCGAGGGGCCTCCCAAGTCGGGCGGTTTGAGCGATCCCCAGATCTCGGGGGACGGATAGGACAGCACCGAGGACACATGTCCGCAGCGGGAGGGCCTTGACCGCTGAACTGAAATCAAAACTGAAGGGTGCCTCCATCCAGAGGACTTTTGTTGGCTCTGCCGAGAGGGGCGATATCCCTCAGCAGGCCCGCGACAGGAGCACACCTTCAGGGCTGTGCCTCACGCACCGCACAGCAAGGCAGCAAGTTGATAGCGGATGGGCCGGCACGCCCAAAAGCTGTATGGGGAATGGGCTCCGCAAGCGAGCACTAGCCAAGGAGGGGGGAGAGAGGAGGGACGAGGAGACGGGGACGGGGGGCGGGGGGCGGGCGTCGTGTCGTCGAGCGTTGCTGCCTCTGCAGGTCCTCCGCACCCTCAGCCCCTCTACCACTTCTCTTCCTCTTCTGCACTCACCGGCCTGGGACTGGCCCTGCCTCCGCCACCTCCTCGCCCTCAGCGAGTTCCTCCTCACCCTCTGCCTCCGCCTCCTCCTCCACCTCCTCCACCTCCTCCTCTTTCACCTCCTGCTGCAGACTGTGCTCAGCGCCCGCCCCCGACGACAGGGGGCTTGTGGGCGCTGAGTAACTGTTCAGCCACCGCCGATTGCAGAACAGCACTGAGCTCTTGCCAGAAAGCGACCGCATCGGCAGACGCTCCTCCTCCACCTCCTCCTCCTCCTCCTCCTCCTCCTCCCCACCCTCTCATCCCTCTTCCCTTCCTCTGCTGGGATGTCTGCCCTTATCCATCTCTGGTTCCCTCTCTGTCCATCTCCCTCTTGACGGTCGTTATCCCGGCCTTGCACTTCTTCCCTCTCTTTGTCCTTCCTTGTCCGCCCTCGTGCTTCTCTATATATCCTCCGCCCCCTCCTTCTCCTCCTGTTTGTTGGGTGTCCTCGTCATCCACCTCCTCATCCGCCTCCTCCACCTCCTCCGCCTCCTCCTCCTCCTCCTCCTTGTCTGCCCTCGTGCTTCTCTATATCCTCCGCCTCCTCCTCCTCCTCCTCCTCCTCCTCCTCCTCCTCCTCCGTCGGCTGCAATTCCTGGGAGGTCACATTCGGCATCGGCGCTGGTACATCCGTTTTCGGCAACACGTCAAATCTTAAGTCGGGCGTGTCAGTACGGGGACGTGTTTTTTTGTTGGTATTTTTTTTTTACTATGTTTGAGCATTATTTATGATTTTTGTTTTTTCGTCCAAATCCGCCTGTAGGGTGACATGCCAGACATAAGTCAAAAACTGCATACCGTCATCTGTTTCGGTGCAACCTCGCCGACTCCTGCTTAGGCTGACAGGCCGAGTCCTTGGGCTAAGTTTGGCTTGGCAGCCCTTGAGTTTGTTTTGGTAGCCCTTGCTCAAGGTGACCTCACATCGATCCGACAATACCCTCAGGGCTACCCCAAGAGAGCCCAGTGATCCGCACGTGATCTCGTCGCGGCTTTAAGCTGACCGCAGGGAAGCCCCAAGGTGGCTCAATCTAAAAACAATGCTTGACCCCGAGATGTTCCAATAACCACGCGCCGGCCCCCATGCGGCCCCAAAGTGGCCGAAGCAGTACCTGAACACGGCTCCATGACCCCAGTGTGATCTGTAGATGCTCTTCCAGATGACCCCTAAGGCAGCACCAGTATGCAATCCTGTGGCAGGATGTGTATCCGGCTCTGTGGGCACGGGCACAGCAATGGTAACCATCGGATGTATGAGCTCCTGCAAGAAGTTCGTTTGCCTCGAAAATTTCAGCGGCGCGGGCTCTCGCCCGAGCCGCTCAAGAGCGTCTTGCTTGGCTTCGAGGGGTGTATTGCGAAGGCCTGACGGCCGGTGCCGCCGACCCTGAAGAGGACCACGACGTCGGCGACGAAGTGGGCGGAGACGGAGGCCGTGGAAGATGAGGAGGAGGAGGAGGAGGAGGCGAGGAGGAGGAGGAGGAGGAGGAGGAGGAGGGGGAGGGGGAGGGGGGGGAGGAGGAGGAGGAGGGGGAGGAGGAGGAGGAGGAGGAGGAGGGGGAGGAGGAGGAGGAGGAGGAGGAGGCGCGGGCTCCCGCCCGAGCCTTTCAAGAGCGTCTTGCTCGGCTTCGAGGGAGCCCTCGCCTGCCTCGCCCCCCTCGGGGCCGCCGTCGCGGGGGTCTGTGCTCACGAGCCTCGTCTGCAGTCGGGCGCTTTGGCAGGACTCCAGTGAACTTTCGTAGCGGCGGTGTAGTCGTTCCCACGGGGACCTCCCAGGACCTCTCAGGAGTTGCCCCGTAACTCCCCCGCTTTCGCGGCCACCCTGGCCGAAGGCGCCGCTTGAGATTCTGGTTCTCTTCTCATCATCATCATCATCATCATCATCATCATCATCATCATCATCATCATCATCATCATCATCAGCATCATCATCAGCAGCAGCAGCATCACGATCACCATCACCATCACCATCACCATCACCATCATCATCATCATCATCACCATCACCATCATCATCACCACCATCATCACCATCACCATCACCAGTATCACCGTCATTATTAGCATCCTCATCATCCTACTCATCATCATCATCATCATCATCATCATCAGCATCATCATTATCGTCACCATCATCATCATCAGCAGCAGCATCATCATCATCATCATCATCATCATCATCATCATCATCATCATCATTCCCATCATTGTCATCATCTGCATCATCATCATCATCCTCACCAGCCAGCATCATCGTCACCATATCATCATCAGCAGCGTCATCATTACCATCATCATCATCATCAGCATCAGCATCATCATCATCATCATCATCATCATCATCATCATCATCATCATCATCATCCTTCCCCTTCTTGCCCCTATCCTCTCGCTGCCGCGGCCGTCTGGGCCGAAGGCGCCGCTTCAGAGCCCTGCGCTCCCTCGGCTCTTCCCGGAGCCCCGCTTACCATACCACACCACACCACGGGGGGGCACCTCGGCCGACCTCCTCGCCGAGCCTGGCCAGGCCCTCTCCCCTGGCCCAGGCTCGGCGTGCGCGCCTCCCCCCTTACAGTGGAGGCCTATGCCAAGAAACACCCTGCTTGCCTCCAGGGTGCCCTGGGCTTCCTGGATTTCGATGGTCTTGCTCGTTGGGAAGTGTGGCGGTCATCCCACACCAGAAATCAATGGACGTCCTGGGGTCTCAGGGTTGGGTTTCTTGCGGAGGGTTTCTTGTGGACAGGCCTCCACTGTAGGCCAAAGAGGGCGCACTTACGCCAGCGGCGGCTACGATTGGACCTGGCGGTGCCGCTTCGGACTCCCGGCAGTGAGGCAAGCCCTGCGGCGCCGGCGCCCGTCGACACGCCGAGGAGCTGCGACACGCGCGTGCCGCGGCGCGCGTCGGCACGCCGAGGCCGCCGAGGGGGCCTGCGCGGCGCGGCGGGCGTCGGCTTTTCCGATGGCCACTGCTGGGACGTGCAATGGTGGTCGCCGCGGGCATGCGCCGCTCTTTGGGGCCCAGGATGATGTCGGGCGTGTCCCTCTACGGGAGGACAATTCGGAAATAGTCAAGAATACTCTGGGGACGACTTTTTTGGAGTACGATCATGTTGTCCCTCAAAGTCCGCCTGCAGGAGGACATGCCCGACCTAAGCCCAGGATGGCCTGGCCAGGATCGGCGAGGTGGTCGGACGACGCCCTCCCCGGGATACCACCTGTTTCTTGGTTCACACGCCCACTCCTTCAAGCGATGGCGGCCCTGAGGCTCCTGGTGCTGTGCGCTCCCATGGCCCAGGGCATCGCCCTGGGCTCTGGGGCCTCGAGGAAGGACACCAGCCAGAGCGCCAACGCCGAGAAGCGCGCCGCGGCACTGGCTGCGCGCGTGTCTCAGTACGAGCAGGCTCGAGGAAGTAGAAATTTGCAACGCGTGAAAGCAAGGCCGCTGAATTTAGAGCCGTCTGGGGGTCCGAGGTGGCCCATCATTGTTTCCGGCCAGCAGGAAGGGCGGGCAGGTTCGAGGTTCTGAGTTCGGGAAGATTTTTACCCTTGTTCCGCCTCCGAGGGCCGCTTTCGGGGTCCTGGGACCGTGAGAAACGAATACAGGGGGAAAACTGCACCAGGTGAACTCCGCAGGAATCGATTTTGAGCAGATTTGGCCTCACCCCGCCCCCCTATGACCGATCTTCTGGGATCCCAAGCAGTGCAGACCCGCCGCCGCCTCCAGGGTGGAACATGGATCAGTTCTGGCTTGGAGGGGGCCCGCTGTTTTCTCGGCTCTTCCACGGTTGCTCCTCCAGCGCTCCTCTTGCACCCAGCTGCTTTTTGGGCCAGAGGCGGCTTCGTTCCTCCCTTCGCACTCCCCGTGGCAGCAGCTTGGGCCTGACCCTTCGGGGGTCCGCGCGGACCTCTTGGACCAGCGCTGGACCCTTCTCTCTGGCGCGCGGAGCACGCCATGGGGCTGCGCCGGATGCGCCGCCAGGGGTGCCAGCTCCCGTCCAAGAGCTCCGCGCGGACCCCAAGCATCGCTTTCTGCTTATGTCCCTTCTGCTACAGGCCATCGAGTACCGCGCCAACCTGTCCAAGGCCGGAAGCCGGCGCTGTACACCACCACCGGCTCTGGCCCAGCCCACCCCTTGGAGTGGCGTTTGCCCTGGCCGCCCCTGCTGGTGATCGCCGATGCACCGGCGATGCGGCTCGGCTCGGAGCCCAGTTTTCTAGATGCAAGCGTCGCCGATGCATCGACGATGCGGTGCGATCCTCCGACTCCATTTGATCAGAGTCTGGGCGGCATCCAGTATAGGAGCTGCAGGCCTAGGAAGGGAGGGGAACATGTCAGGCAGCCTCAGGGCAACTCCAGACACCCAGACATGCGGTGTCCTGATTTTTGTGAGCACGGGGTCCCCAGATCTGGGGACCCCGCGCTGCAAAGTCCAGCACATCGCAGTCATTGCCGATCCCTTCCGAGGGACTGGGTCTTCCTCCGGAGTCGCTCTTGACGGTCCCGGGGGCCCGGTGAGGCCGAAGACAGCCAAAAACGTCCCGCCCCTTGGATGACCGTGGGGGTTATTAGTGCATAGGGGGGTACAAGAGGATGCCAAGGTGGGTTATACCTGGCCCTACCTGGCCTATAAGTGGGTTACAAGTGCCTTACGTAGCTTAGGGGGGTTAACGATCCAGGCTAAGTGGGCTCCGCCCACTTAGCGGAGTTATCTAACCCCCTAAGCCATTCGGGGCGCTTGTAACCCACTTATAAGCCAGGTTGGGCCAGATATAACCCACCTTAGCATCCACGCGTGCCCCCCCTATCCACTTAGAACCTCCCACGGTCATCCCAGCCGTCGTTTGTTTTTTGGGGGGGGCATATCACACAGCAGGACGCGAGCGTGCCTGGGACGTCCAGCCCACTGCAGGGCCTCGTCGCAGTGCGGCCCAGGGCGCCTCGGAGAGGCCGCGGCCCCCCCCCGGGCGCCTCCTCTGAGCCGGCCCCAGCCCTCGCAGGCAGAAGGAGGAGGAGGAGGAGGAGGACTCCCGGGCGTTGCCCTGTGCCCTGCTCTGCTCGCGCCCTGCGCCCTCGCAGGCAGGCCCCGGGCGACCTCGTCGTCCTCTGGTGGGCAGCGTGGGTCCCCGGAGGTCTCGCTCCTTGCCCAGGCCCGGCGTTTCGCCCCGAGCCGTGTCTTTGACGCTCCCGGCGTCAAGCGTTATTAGTGTTCTTATTCGTATTAGTTACTATTTTTAGAACATCAGTATCAGGACTATATAAGTATATATATATATGTATGTATGTATATCACGTGGGCTCAAATTCTTGTGCTTCTCCGTGGACCAATGTTGTTTTTGGGGGTTTAGTGTTGTTGTTTTGGGGTGTGCTTTTGTTCTTTGTGTTGTGTGGTTTATCTTGAGCCGCTCTGCTGACTGACGGTCCCGAGGCCCAGAAGGGGCCCCTCGAAGCCAGAAGTAACGAACGACCTTCCGTCGTGTTTTTTCGGCGACGTGACGGGGTCCAGCTGTCTTGTGCACACCAGCCAACCCCGAACGAAACCTCCGCGTGGGTTTTGGAGGTCGCCGCGGCGATCGCGGCGGCTCCAGATCGGGGCAAGGCTTTTGTCAAGGGATGGCATACCCCCCCTCTCTGCGATGCAGGCGTGGCTCAGCAATATATAGCGACAGAGGGTTACCAGTTTGCGTCCAGCATGGGCACCCATGTGCTTTCGCTGTTGGGGGTAGGTTGCCACGCAACCACCAGAGGATGG